CCGGGCTCCCCCCGGGGCCTTGCGGGGCGCGCCGTGTTTTCCGTGGGACCCCGCGGCGTTTGGTGGGAACGTGTCTGTCCCTGTTCGGATCCGTCCGTGGGGGAAGGTGAGGTGCGGAACAGTGACCCGGTTGAGGTTAATGTCTTTCCCCAAGACGCGCAGTTCCTCAGTATTTTAAATGCATCCCCTTCTGCACAGGTTAGCACTTGGCACAGCGTCAGCCCCATCACCCTAAGACACTTAGACATTTTTCTTTTCTTCCTATTTATGATCATGAAAGGGACATTTTCTGATCTCATGCCGTGGAACTGCAGCAGAGCGTGGCAGACTCGCTTTGTTCAAGCAGTCACACAAGTATTCAAGCCCAGAAAAGGCCAGCTAGTCTGTGACCTCTTACATAAAACAGCCAGAAACTGCATCTCGGTGATTCTTGCACGACAGCTCTAAACTCTGTTTGGGTCAGTGCTGCCCGCACACTGCAAAATCTGAACTGATGGAGAATGCACTGTGCCACTAGTTAATTATCTTCACAATTCAAATTGTGTTTTCCACTTCTAACCCAAAATATATGAGATAGTTACAGTTTAAAATGAGGAAAGCCTCTTAAGGACATGTAATATTTCCCCTGGATGATGGAACTTCCTATTAGAACTTTTCCCACGCTCATCCTGGTAACATAGGAGGGAGTATGACTCCTATCATGACAGTTAGTAAAAAGAAGGTAAAAAAATCATTAATTGGTTGTCTTCAGCCAATCTCTTTTTGTTTTAAGACTGGACAATACGGAAATAGTATTCATCACAGTTACAATTTCACTTAATCTGTCAACAAGCTCCTAGACTTCCTCCTACCCATCTATTCTCTCTTCTTGAACACAACAGCAATTCTAACTAGAAATTACCCAGAAAGCCTGGGATAGTGTAGTCCATGGCTGTAGTGTAGTGCATGCTTTGATATATCTTTGAAGTACCATAGAAGTGGTGAAGGCAGAACAGGAGGGATAAAGAGAGATCATCTATCTGTGAATAGAACTGCAGGTTTCAGAAACAACCAGTAAATGAGATTTGTGTAGATCAAATTCTACAGTAAAGTCATTCCTGTTTGTTTAGGAGTCCTTTCTCTGAGGCTAAAACTGTTCACCTTTCATTGCTGAAAAAGTATTTTCAGAAACTTGGATGTTTTGGGTTAGAGGTGGAAAGTAAGACAATCTTTAGACTGGGAGAGGGAGCAGTTTTCATCTGGAACGAAAAATACTCCTCTTGAGGATTTGGGAGCCTCAGCAGATCCTATCCTTGGCGAGCAGTCACTAGGGGACAGCTACTTTTTCGGCATATGTTCAGCGCTGGCTGTGTGGGTTCATCTAAAACTTCAGTCTTCAGATTAGGTTTAAAACCATTTTAAAATGGATTGAGAAACTGTCATGGTGTTTCCTGAATGAATCACCTCCATGGGCACAGAACATCAAGATTTTGTTAAGTAGCTGTTTGGGACCATGTCCTATACTATGTTGACCTGGGAAACTCAGTTAGGGCTGTGAACCCAGAGTCAGGGCCATTGTCATGGAAGTTCTGTGCCACACAGGTCCTATCTGAGGGTGCATAATAGAGGCACAGATCCAGGAAACACCAGATCTTCAGTCTGCCAGAAACTTAAGCATATGCTGGAAACCCATGCAAACATATATTGGGTTTATCATCTCATTAAATTCCAAAATCTTTTGAATTAAATATATTTGGCTCTGCATTTGCTGATGAAACTTTCATCAGGAAGTTTCTAACTAGCTGTGCTGCGGAGCTGAAGGCCTGAGTCTTAGTACCCTGAGCAAAAGAACTAGAATATTTAGATGAATACTATTACAAATGTGGATTGTTTTCAAATTGTTTGCCAGTGAAGCGTGGAAGTGAAGGCTTTTGTTGAAATTTTAAGCCTGTTCATAATTGCACCTTCAGTTTGGTCACATTCAAAGCATGGTGTAAGATTCATCCCTCGCTAATAACTTAAAAAAAAAGTTTGGAATGTTTCAGAGTTACCAAACCACCTTTTTTTTTACTCCCATT